GTGAGAAGCTACTGGAAGCGTCCCTGGCTCCAAGTCAGATCCGCTGCTGGCCTAGGCCAAGTCAATCAGCGGTGGTGAATCTGCCTCTGTGATAAGATATTTAAGAGGGAAAAAAAACTGCAGGGAACCTGCAATGGAGAAAGGAGTGGGATGTGAGAGAAACAACTGCACAGACACCAAGGTCAGTGAAGGAGGACGGCGAGGAGGTGCTCCAGCTGCAGGAGCAGAGGTTCCCCTGCAGCCCGTGGTGAGGCAGCAGCTGTGCCCCTGCAACCGTGGAGGGTAATGGTGGAGCAGATGTCCATCTGCAGACCATGGAGGTCCCCAGGCCAGAGCAGGTGGCTGTGCCTGAAGGAGGCCTTGACTCCATGGGACACCCACACTGGAGCAGTCTGTTCCTGAAGTACTGCACCCATGGAAGGGACCCACACTGGAGCAGTTCATGAAGAACTGCAGCCCATGGGAAGGACTCATGTCAGAGAAGGTCATGGAGGACTGTCTCCATGGGAGGGGCCCCACACTGGAGCAGGGGACGTGTGTGAGGAGTCCTTCCCCTGAGGAGGAAGGAGCAGCAGAAACAATGTGTGATGAAGTGACCGCAGCCCCCATTCCCTGTCCCCCTGTGCCGCTTGGGGGAGGAGGTAGAAAGAAGGGAGCAAAATTGACCCCAGAAAGAAGGGAGGCATGTGGGGTTTTTTAAAGATTTGGGTTTATTTCTCATTATCCTTCCCTGTTCTTGCCTCAACCCATGAGGTTTTACCTTTTTTTCTTCCGATTCTCTTCCCCATCCCACTGTGGGGGTGAAGGAGGGGAGGAATGAGCAAGTGGCCACATGGTGCTTATTGCTGTCTGGGCCTAAACCATGGCAAGTATATCTGTCAAGAATTTGTACACTACTCAGAAAGAGATAAGGGGATGAATGTATAAAGTCTTCATATCAATTTGCACAAAAATGATTTATCTTAAAACCATACAAATGTTTCTGTCCAATATGGTGGTTAGTTAAGTGTGCTTGTTGCTTTGTCATCATCGTCATCTACAGGCTCTGCGGTGGCCTCACGAATCAGGTTTAAATTGCCTTGAAATGCAGTTTCAAATAGGAGAGGACTGGAGGTGGCTGGTTATCTCCCTTGGGCTACTCAGGGAATTTCAACCTCCTCCTGTGTGTCAGTCGCTTCAAAAGATGTTAAAAACAGTGGCATCCACATGTACATGAAATCTAGCAAACTCCCCTTACGTCTTTTGTCAAAATGCTCTTCGCCTACGTCGTGTTAGAGGCTGAACGTTAGTTGTGTGTCAGCTGACGAGATGTACAAAAACAAAGAACGATGTTTGTTCAAAATGTGGCTGCTGTTTTGGTGCAGTCAGAAGCAGTATTGTGTTTTCAAGTAAATACGAAGGAATTCTGCTGCTGTGTGATCGACAGAGGCATATAGTTTTCTCAGAAGGTCTGTATTAATCAGTTTACTAGATTCCCTCTGAAGTTTTATTCATCTCTTCACCTGAAAGTTACTATAAAATTTTCACATGCTTCTTTTCTGTCTGTCATTGTTTCAAAACAACAAAAATGTTACCTTGCTTTCTGATTTTGCTGTGTGAATCACTTGTTTTGGTGGACTGAAGTTCAGAGGCTTTCTTCTTTCCTGTTGTTTTACACATGGGTAGTTCCAGTTTCCAGTATAGTTGTTATTTATATCACTGTGAAGTGAAGGAAATACCAGACCAGGGCTGTGAATTTTATGTATCAAACAACATGAGGTGCATTCTGACAGCTAAAGCTGGTCAGGAATTTTTTGATAATGTGGGTTGGTTTTTTTTTTTCCTTTAAAAAAAATGTTAGTTTGTTAAATGTCTTCTGCTTTGACATACTCCAATAAAATGAAACCTAGTTTCCTGCTAGTCCAGTGGGCAGATTGTGGATCCAGGGATTGTGGGGGTGCCTGGGAGCCCTTGGAAATAAGGACTCCTTGAGTCCCACATTTCCTGCTGTAGTCCCAAACATGCAAACATGTTTCCCAAGGCCTTTGTGTCTCACCTTTGGATATAGAGTTGAAAAAAGTTCAGAACCCCACAAGGACTGGGACGCTTGAGCTTCTTACAGATATGGTTTTATAGCTGGTAGTCATGACAGAGATCATGAATAATCATAAATATAGAAGATAAAGAAGTTAAGCTAAGCCAGAAGGGGTCTCTGAGCTTAGAAGAGTGAGTTATTAATTCAGTTTATTTTAAAACATCTTTTTAAAAAATTGTTATTTTAAAGCATTTTTTTCTCTTAGGCAAGACTTTTCAAAATTGATATTTTTGACATTTTACAGATATGGCTTTTCATGGAACAGAAAATCTTGTTTTAACAGCTCTGCTGATAGTGACAGAGGACTGTATTCATCTTCTCAGTCTATGCCAAACTAGTGCTTTGCCTAACTTAAGCTGATAGAATCTGAACCTTAATCAGATGTTTTTTCTCCAGTGCTTTGCTATGGTATTTTACTCGCCAGGTGACCTAACCATACATTCATTACATTCTCCCTAAAGCTCATTCTAGATAGTTCTTGACATGAACGTATCAACAGACAGTTGCAGTGATGAGTGAGGGAAATTATGGGTTAACATGTATTTCAAGAGGAAGATACTCCATTATCTGGAGATTTCCTCATTTTTGCAGGTGCTAATTTTGAGTTCAATATTTCAACAGTGAACACATAACCACTGAACTTCTCTTCAGAGAAAAGCATGTGCTTTATTTTTATGGTAACTCTTTATTTTTTTATTTCATAAAACACTTAAATAAGCCTATTGTTTCCCATAAACAAAGACGCTGGAGGAACTTGGGTTCATTTTACTTTTTGTTGAGAACATTAATTTTTTTGGCTCATATGTCACCTTCTAAAAATCCATTGTTGTATAGGTATGGTTATAGCTCTAATTAAAGACCTGAGATGGAGGAATTATCCAGGTGTTTACTCGGTATTTTTCAAGAACGTCATTGTGTGGCCACTGCTAGAGGACCACAATGAGACTTCCATTCAGCCAACATGGTCAAGGTACCTTGACCATACATAAAACAGCGGCATGTACAGTGATACTTGGCCACAAAATGCAGGGGGAGGTCTAGTGTGGCTAAGTGATGCAGTAACATATTCAGAGTAACATCACCATTCTAGGGAGGCAGAATAATAAATACAATATTTTGTCAGTGAAAACCTTCCTCAAGGACTTACTCCCTCCTCTGAAGCTCTGAGGAAGGTGTCTGCTTGTACTGTACTGTCAACTTCTGCAATGAGACGAGGGTTTAACATCAGTGTCCCTCATCTCTTAGACTGATTTATTTTCAAAAGTGTGTGGGAATGCATTGTTGTGCAAACTGGAAAGGAGTTCAATAGTATGTTCTGTCAAATCACTCCAAATGTATTTTATTGTAGTATTGCAGCCTCTGAGTATCTTACACAGCTATTACACTGATGCCAGAGAACTTGCTCTTGGGTAAGCGAGGAGAAATAAGACTATTGCACTAGTGAGGGAGACCCATAAATCCCTGTCTGTTTCTAAAAACTAGTTCAGCTTCTGGACCCAGACAAACTGTGGTCCTGGGTATCAGAGAAAATAGTGTCAGATAAAAAATTGGCATTCTGCAGAGCACATCCGAAGTCAATAAATGGACTTTCATTTTTAAAGGTTAAAATGTAGTATTATTCTAGAATCTTATGAAAACCATAAAATCACTAGAGCCAGTATAATGCATCTGTTCTAAACCCGTTTAAGAACTGGACTGGAATGCTTCAGAACTTCCTTCCAAAACTCCAAAACATTTCATAGCAGGTTCATATTTATGCTTTTAGGAGTAAGAAGGTATAACTCTCTAAAAAAACCAAACAAACAGAATCAAACCACTCAACCCCTCCCCATTTCCTCCCCCCAGCAGCCCCCAAACCCCACACGTACAGCCAGTTCCTCAGTAGGTATATATTTACATAGTACTTTTGAGTTCAATGAAGCTCTGAAAATTCATGGAAGTTCAGAACTGGTTCAATAAATTGCACTCCCTGGAATGGGCTTATATGTATATCAGTATCTGTGATCAGTATCCCCGTTTTCTTTATTTTCTTGGTAGTTCAAATATATCTTTGTATGTTAATGAAGATTAGTTTTGTTGTGAGCCTCATCTTTCAGAAAGATTGTTTTGCACATAATTAGGAAAAAAAAGTTGTGTGAATATTCTTCTTAATGAACTAGTAAGGAAGACCCTGTTGGAGTTCAGAACCGACAATGGATTTTAGCATTCTCTTGATTTTTGGGTTTCATTGCACCTTTAACCTAAAACATGTAAATGCTACAAAATTAGTAATGAGAGGCTTTGAATCAGAAAAAATGAACCGTATCTAGTTGAACCACAAAATATCTACATTGTTGGAAAGCTGGCATTGTCAAAAGAAAAACAGATTTTTTTTTTTAAGTCATTTTAATCACATCAGTCATGTTGCAGCAAGGAATGCAAATATTCATATACTACAGATTGCAACTGCTCTGAAATATTCTGACAATCTGTTATGTTTTGAGTGATGTTTCAACCCTATCACTTGGGGTTTTTTGTTTTGTTTTTGTACGACTATAAAAAAACACTGCTCATCTCTGTCACATGCTGTACAGGATAAAAAGCCTTTCAGTTTTCTTAACAAGAATCAGATGGCCAGGGTGCTGCTGGAACGCAGAGAATATGCCACTGTCTGTTCAAAGTACAGCTTAATGAGCCAGACTAAACCCACTGGACAATAGAGCTGTGGGGAGAAAGGGCTTCTCATGGATCTATGGATCAGCTGCAGCTTTAACATCTAACTAGTTTCATTTTTTCATCTTTACAAGTTCCATTTCCCTGTTTTGTTGGTATAAACTACATTTCAATGAATGGACTTTCCTGCCTAGGTGACGGTATTGTGTGCTTTGAAAAAGGATATCGTGGATTATGCTAGAAATAATTTCTGTGTTTCTTTTTTCTCTCATAGTCACGACCTATTCCCTCACACCTTACTTCAGCAGTTGCAGAGAGTATCCTGGCTTCCGCCTGTGAGAGTGAAAGCAGAAATGCTGCAAAAAGGATGCGGTTGGATAGACAGCAGGTACTGTGTTATTTGGGGGTCTACCACATCCATATTTATAAATGCACTGGACTCATTTACATAGGATGCCATGCAGAAGGGTGGTACAATCCCTTATCCATTTCTTGCTAGCAAGAATAATAAAAATACAAAAGCTGTAGTTCTTTAAATGAATACAGAAGCTTGTCTTTGTCTATATTTATATAATCTGTATGGGGATGCCTAGTATGTTTATAATGTCCAGCTGGATAAAGCTATATATTTGCCTTTTAATGGTTGTAGATTTTTAGGGCAGATTGTGTGTTCTGCATACTAGAGTTTAAAGGAACAGAACACACGGTATATATAATCTACATAAATAACAGAAATGATTCATGTATCCCTGAGTCAGTGTATATATCTGTGCACATATTCTCTCTCAAAATGTGGATGCATTTGTAAATGTAAGGCAAAATAGCATGTGTCTGAAAATACCTATTTACCTGAAACAGAAAAGTTGTTGTGATATATACCAAAATGCTGTCAATTACCTTATTAGTGAGATTTTAAAGCTCATATCAGTATTTATTTTTTCTTATGTGATTATTCATTATTCTAATGCATGTTAGTATTTAATTATTTTTAATTTGCTGAGAATTGCATGTTTTCTTTCAATTTTTAAAAATTAAACTTGTAGTTTGTTCCAGGCTTTGATTATTTAGTTACTTCATGGACAGAGTGACTGTTTAACTTTCTTATTGAACAGATGATTGTGCTTTATTTCTCTTCATGATTTTCATAAAGTCAAATATCTCATTTGTTCCAAAATACGCCTCAGTTATGGTAGTTGAACTTTTTTGTGGAAAAGAGCATTTTTTAAAGGAATTATTTTCTTTTATACATAGTCCATTGAGTTCTTTCAGGTCCTGCCTTAACTGAATAAAGATTCCTACTACTAACTTCAGAACATTGGTAGCTTAGGAGCTGAGAGTGGATATTACTGTTTCTTTTTGCTGTTATATTTTTTGATAGTATTGTCATAATTGTAGTACATTTGCCTTAGGATTTACAAATCACTTGGGATGTCAAAGTGCTGTAATGTTAAGCATGGCTTGGTTTAGAAGTGGTGTGTGTATAGATTGTGCAGGTTTCATGTTGTCTCATTTGTTCTCTGATTTTTCAGTAAGAATTAAAAAAAAAAAAAGAAAAAAAAGTAAAAAGCTACAAAATTGATGTGCCCATCCCAAGGATAATTAGAAGAGACCTGTGCAAACACCAATTGCTTTCACTGCACTGGCTGCAGACTGACTTGTCCTCAGTAATCACAAAAATAGTGGCTCAGTTCCCTGGTCCAGCCAGGGCGAGGCAGTGTTTTTGAGTGATTTAGATGAGCTGTTGAAAGAAAAACAATTTTAAAACTGTAGACAGAAGTAAAAAAGCTTATTCATAGGACTTTTCTTTATTTCATTTGTGTTGTTACTGTCATGGAAGGATTTGGTAGCAGTTATTGTTGAGGGGAGAGGTATGTCTTTACTTTTCCTTACAGAATTTAAAATCTATATGCAGAGTGGCTTCAGACCGATCATCTTAATTACAATTGTGATGTTAAAGTAGCAAAGTTGCCTACGAAGAACAGGCACTGGGTTCTACTTCCTTCAGCTCCCGCTTCTTTTTAGCAGTGAGTTCTGGGAACACTGTGGAGACAGCTGCAAATAACAGCAGCCGTTTGATTTGGTGAGCAGTAAATTAGCTGGCTTGATGTACCTTCACTACTTGCAAAACTATTTGTGAATTCAGGATAGATTTGCTGAATAGTTTTGGCTGGAAAAAAATATGGGAATGTGTGTTAGGTAGCTTCATAAAACGAATAGTGAAAAATTTACCCTGAAGGGCAGAATAGTGAAGTCATTAGAGAAGTAGAAAACCTTGGTTCCAGCCTCAGTTACATTCAGATTTAATTATTTGTTCCAAGTATGTGACATTAAAAAAGTAGATTGAGAGCAAAGCATTCCAGAATATTTCTGAGTGGGGTATTTGACACACACTACTGTGCTTGATTCTTATGCTAAGATGGGAAGTGGACCTCTATCCTCACATCCAGGGAGAGTGCCTTATAGGTAAAGGCTCTATCCCTCTCATCTTTCTATTTTTTCCTTTTACTTACTTTTAAATTTCCTTTATTTTTCTTACATATATCCAAAATGAAGTATTTTCATTGGATTTTTTTCTTAAACAGAGAAAGGTTGAAAAAGTTGTTTCAGTGCAGCATATTGTTTTTACTGTTCTTTAACTCTAAAAAAAAAAAAAATAATAAAGAGTTTGAGGACCCTTCAGTGGAACTTTGGGAGGAGGAAAGGGGAAATAAGATTTAGATAATGAAAATTGGCACTTCACAAATTATATCAAGAGATCTTCTAATGGAGGACAAGCATTAGACAGTCCTGGAAAGTAGATTGTTAAGAGGATCTGGTAAGAGCACTCATTCAGCACTTCCCCTTAGAGCTGAATGGAAGTGTTGCAAGAAAGCTGTTTTACTCCTTCATGAAGTACAGCGAAGGTCTCCCTTATATTCTCCAGAGGGGTGATCTGCCTCAAAGTAAGATGTAATTTGCACCCCCACCACTACCTTTTTCAGAATGTTACCCATAAAAAGTGAGTGTATTAAGAACACAGTGAGTGTTATACCTAATGCTGAAGCTAAGACAAAACTTCAGCAGCTTCCTGAATTAAATTTCTTGTTTCGTTTATGCTTTTTTGTCCTCTTCTCCATTTCTTCTCCTCTCCTTAGCACAACGCGGTCCCTGAGCAGGAAGTCCTGTACTTTGGTGAAATAATATGAATTTCCAAACTAAATATGTTTTTGCCTACAATGTTCATTTTAACAGTGGTTTGATGGAAAACCGGCTCAGTTATTGCTCAGCAAAAAGAACGAGCTTAAAACTCAGAACCGTGGAAACTTCTAAGAGCTCAGTTTTTCTTTTGTATAGATAGAGTATTGACCGTGCTCATGAGTATTAGCTGTTCCTTTCACAGGTATTAAACGTGAAGGATTGGCTTTATATACTTATAATCCTGTGCACAGATTTGTTATCTCTTCAGAAGGAACCTCTCCAATCATGTGTGTCTGTCTGCACACACACAAATAGTGCATCTTCTGAATGACTTTGTCGAAGTATTTCTGATAGCTGCAGTGCTTAATATAGCCCTGATCTAGTGATATTAAGTATGAAGCAGAAAGAAGCCATCCTTCTACCTATATGCCTTAAATTCCACTCACATGATCTTTCTATTTCCTAACTCAAGGCTCAAAATTTCTGCCTGCAAAAATCCCATTTTAAAAATAAGTTAATGCAAACTGATGTCACTGGTATCACTTATACTCAAAATTAGATTTTTCGTGGCAATAATTTATTTCATAATGGGAAACTCAATGTGATCTTGTCTGTCAGGAAACTAGTAACTTCCCATAGTTTTTGAAACTGCAACAATAAAAGCATTGTCAGTTTCTGAGACTTCTCTGTAAGGAATACAAATGTGTTTACTAGGTCATGATAGCTTAGGCTATAATGCTTTGCTTGTCTGACTGTGTTAGATGTTGCTCAAGTGCTCTCTATCTTCAGTGCATTTTCATTCTCTTGAGATCAAGCTCTGTTGGTTGGCCAGTAGCTTAAGTGCCGTGAAGTCACATATTTCGTACCTATTACCTGACTGAAAACTTCTGTCACTTCCACTTTTTTATTCTGCCTGATATTAAAAATAATTTATTCCCTTGCACCAATTTTATAGATTTATATGTTGAAATTGTACGGGTTTACTGATACTAGTGTCAAATAGTGAAATGTTCGTGACTCTGGGCTGGATTTTGTTGATGTTTCCACAGTCCCAGGTCAGGCAGTGGGTACAGAAGCAATGCAGAGCTTTTGCATTGCTCTCCAAATCATCTCTGCTGAGTCTGGATACTGGAAAAGGGCAACTCCAGTTTGGAATTTTGAGGACTTCTTTAATCACAGTTGATAAAAGATGTAGAAACAATTATTGACTGAACTTCTATGACTTGCTTCAGTCAGAGAAAGAAGAGTCATTACCTGAATCCTTAAGATTTCCTGTGCTTCTGAGTGATATCTTGGGATGGTCTTCTGGGATAATCCTTCAAGATCTTTATTACATCTGTAGCAATATTCAGTGTGGAGCATTTGCACTGAAGCGGAGGTTCTGGACAACTATCAAGAAGGGAGTCATGAAACAAATTAGGTAGAGCTAAAATACAGGCCTTTTTACATGCCTTCATTACATATCATGACTTCTTTTGTTGTGTCTTTCACTTTACAAACCAACTGGTGTCTTGGTTGGGCAAAAGAAGAATAGTTAAATAAGTAGAAAAGTCTGGAAAAAGCCATCTGGGCATGACTGTCCTGGGCAGTGAACAGAAGTTGGGATGCCTGTTTTGTGGGCTCCTGTTGCAGAGGCCTCTCCTCTGTGGCCCTGCTTGCTGTCAGTCCCAGAAATGGAAGTTTCATTTTAAGAGCTTAACCATTGTCGGTCTCTGCTTCTTCCAAACAGGTATGTGCATGGTGTAGTTTTTATAAAACCTTATCATAAAACATCCTGGAGCAGTGTTGGGCTGTGGTACTCTGTGGAAAGTGGAGGTGGATTAGTCTTGTTACTCTTCTGTCTGAAATTAAAAAGGCCAATGAAAATTCTTCAAGGGAAAATGTAAAGGGAAATAGTAGTTTATATGTATTAGCGTGTGAGAGGACCTGCCCCTTTCCTTTTACTAAGGAAGATGAAAAGGTGAAATCATCCTTTGGAAAAGCAAGTAAGAATTATACTAGGAAAAAAATGCCTTCATTCATATTTGGACACAAGTAATTTTTACAACAGCCGCCTTTTGTTTAATTGTTTGCTTCTTTAGAATGTGTGCTTTTTGCATGCTGTCATGTTGCAAAATTTACAAATGAACGTTTTTCTTCTAATTGAAATAAGAAGTTTTTGGCAATCAAGACAAAATGTAAGCACCTGGAAGCAAGGAAGGAGGATGGCTA